CTTCATTTTTTGCAAACATGATAGCTATGGGAACTCTTGTGGTACCACAAGCATTTGAGTAGGTGTATTTATGCTTTAACTTTGGTGATTTCTTTCTCTTGTTTAATCCATTTTTCCCCTTTGCTTGTTTTTTATAGAAGGCATTCACATTTTTTCAAAATTATTATGGTTTTTTATATATTTATAAGATTAGTGATGTGAGGAAAATGAGCAATATTTATTTAAACATTTTGGAGCTGTCTAAATTCTTGTTTAGCTTAGTTTTTTTTAACGAACTAACCAACAGGCTACTGGTAGTAGAATTGAAATATTGTGATCCAATTGCATTTAGACATATGAGTGTGCAATTTTCAGTGGTTATAGTTTCCTTATAAAATAATTATGCTGCTTCAGTAATTTGTGCTGGGCTCACCATGTTGCTAAGGATGCTCTCTCAAGGCTGAAGGGAGTGTACTTCCAGACTAGGAGTCTGTCCTTGACAACAGGTACAAGAATTCCTAGTGATGGTATGAGGGGCAATCTGTTTTCTTAAATCAAATATGAGTGAAAGGTTCTCAAATGTTTTATCTCCAAGGAAACCTTTCCACAATGATTCATTTACTGAGATGACTTTGTTCATCTACCATGTAATTCCTACACATTACTAAAGATTCTGAGGAGAATATTTTGGGTATCATATGGGCCATGCTTACTGATCCTTGCCATTACCTTATGCAGATTGAAGAGTACACTGTAGGAGATACTGAAAACTTCTGAGCGTCTGTGAATTGCCAGGATAAATAAATAGCAGCTAATAAGCTGTTGCTTAAAAGTATGCTGGCTGGCTTTTCTGAGCTTCTTATTCAGTTATCCTTAATTTCAATGGGACCCCGACATTTCATGAAACAGACTAAATTCAGTTGTCTAAGATTTCTTCACTTGTTTCCATGTGACACAATTATGTAGGGCAAAGGCTGTTCTCTGCTAAGAATGCACCAATTTAGCTAGTATCCCATAATTCTTTGGAGACACAGAAGTGACTGCATTTGTATCTGGCATCTTCTTGTTGGCTGTAAAAGTAGAGTCTTGTTTCCTAGGAGTAAGCAAATTGCTGCTTTATTATAGGTTTTTATATTGTTATAAATAACATTCAGTTCTGTTTCATAGAACTATTGAGCATCTTGCTATCAATGTGAAGAATTACTGAAGTTATGGCTGTAGAAAAGGGAAATTTGTCTCCACTTGCTAATTCAGAACAAGATGCTGTGTCTCAACCTGATATGCCTTACGGGTTGCTATAAAGAAGAATTGCCATTACACTGCATGGAGATTCTGGGAGGAATGATGGCTAATAGCATTGTCTAATTATTTGCTGCTGTTGTTATAGTACTGTACTTGTAACTTCTACGGCTTTTAAAATAGTACAAAAATAGACATGCATGGGAGCATATAAAGATACATTGCTATTCCTTTTCTTGAAATAGGGATGAGGTACAGGAGGGAAGCAATGTGTCAGGAAAGACAGAACCTGAGTGGGCTATTTAAACCCACTTTGCTTCCAAGAAAACTATTGTAGTTTTATAATAAAACAATTCCAATATAGTTAACCTGGTCTAGTTCCAACCCGGCAAAGAGTCTGGTGCAAATTGATTTAATGTACTGTAGAATGTTTGTTGATGAAGACAATTGGATGTTGCTTTGTATTATAATTTGGATAAGAAGCATAAATACTGTAGTTATACATACTACTCCAAACCAAAGGAGAAAATTGGAAAGAAGTCGATTTTGTCTTGAATGTCACTAAAACATTATGAATCAATAAAATTCATTTAATGATGGCTTTGGCAACCTCACTCTGCAGAAAAATTGAATCTTGAAACAGCGCCAAAGTTTATGAAAAAGAATTGAATATGTGAGTTATCCTCTGTGCAATTTGGCTACAACTGAGTCTGTGAACTGTAGCTGGAATCAGGATGGATTTGTGACTGGTCATCTGGCCAAACATTCTTTGATATTCAGGCAATCATTGTAATGTCTTCATGGCTGCATCACATTGTGTTAAAGCTGTTCTACTTTAGTATGTAGCCATCTTGTCTGTTAGAAATAATATCTATTTCACAGCTATAAATTACCAATACCTACATTTGAAAACTTGTTTCTAGTTTCACAGTTGTCATTTCATCACCTGACTGCAAGTGGGTTTGAATAAATCTCTCATACTCATAAATTAATCTCAAAAGTGGAACATCTCTATCAACTCAGGTCTTTTTTAAGGAAGCATTTCTCAGTTATTTAGTAAACAAGTGACTTAGGCTCATGTGTTCACAGGTCCATATACTGTATATGTGTATACATAACAAGTAGTCATCAGAAAGAATTAATAGATGTATGACAAACTCTTGACAGTTCATCTTTAGACAGCAAAGGATGACATAAATTAGTTCACCTTTAGATAGCGAAGAATGACATAAATTAGACACTTGGAAAAACTGAAATGCAAAAACTGAATGTAAATTATTAAATATTAATAAGAGTAAATGATGAAAATAAAACACAGAAATTTTTTTAAAAAGTGCTTCTTTTAGAGCAAGATTTGCTATTATAGCCAAGCCACTTCAAAGTAGCCATTATCTGTAAATGCATACTTAACTTTGAAATGGATTGGGTTTTTTTTGCTAGCAATAGAAAATAATGGGGGGGGGGACACAAAAAGCTAGGCTGTATGGAAATACATTTTGCTTCTGGGTGGGGGGAACTAAATATGACACTGAGACAACACTAAGCCAGAAATAACCACAACACATTCCGGCTTAACATGTCATGTCAAACCAACCACTGAATTATTTTGCAAGCGTCATCAAAAAATCTTATGTCAATAAGTCTGACACCTATTCTCAACCTCAGATCAATGTGCTTAATCAATTTAACTTTCAGTTTCTGATTTTAAATTCTTATATATTTTGGTACAGACAACATACCTACCAGATTTCAGTTTTACAAATGCAGAGAAATTGCATGTATTTCCAACAAGTTGGGGACAAGCAATCTTATTTTATCCATTAAACCATTAAATAAGACACCATTTCACGAGAAGCGGGTGTAAAATGGTACCATTGTTATGGACAGATAGCAATGCTTTCCCCCCCTTACTCCGATTTTACTAACTCATGTTCTTTTCATTCTAAAAATAATCTTTTTAGAATGTCAGCAGTTTGTTCTAATGATAGAAAACAATATATGACCAGGCCATAAACTATGAGTGAAGAACTAAAAGAGATGTACAGGGAGTCATTGTGTTCCACAGATAATATACTAGAGGTTTTAACTGAAAATGCATCTACCTCAGATCAACTTCGCTCTGAGATAGAAAGTTAGTAAAATAATATCTGGACTGAACCACTACCATCACCACCACCATTACTACCACAAAATTCACATCTCCACATAGGAGAAGGGGTTCATGCCCTATAGGTAGGGAATGTTTTATGTGGCAAGGGAGGAAGTGGTGCAAAACCTTGCTTATATAATATTGTGATATGGCTCAGATACACCTTTTCCATTTCTGTGTATATAGGATACAGTCTAGGGTTCATCAAGTGACCTTGCCCATGACAGTGGATGCTACATCCAAAGGACTTGGGGCATACTGTGAAACAGAAGTTTCAAAATATCTGAAGCTATTGTTCTCCCAGTGCAACCCAATAGTTTTTATCACACCAAAGAGCTGTAGTAAGCAGCTCATCATGCAATGTACATATGGAAGTCCACCCAAGTCTCTTGAGGTCTTGGTTACAAAATCTTTACCTGCAGACAATACTTATTATCAGAGTTGTATTAGGAAAAATATATATGTCATAATAATGTAGGTTTTGCAATGAAGTGTCACAGAGTGTTTTCATACCTTTATGGCAGTGGAAGCAATCTGAATATGATGAAGTCTTCTCAGGGTGCTATCCCTGTCAATAAAGTAAGAGGCTGCCAGTTGGTGTAGTGTTTCCAGAGTCACTGTGGTACTGTTAATGCTGGGATCACTTGTTTCTGATCTCTTACTCAGCTTCCGCTTGTCCACAAAAATTGTGAGAGACTCTTCTCCTGTGCAAGCAATGACACAAAAGAGTCAAAGAAGTTTACAGAACTCGACTTTATGTATTTATGTATTTATTTGTTTGTTTGTTTGTTTGTTTATTTGTAATTACACAGCTAGCAGTAATCCCATGCATCTCATTTTTAAGGAAATGGTTAGCGGGTAGGAACTCTGGCACCAAAAATATCTAGGTAGGGGTAAGAAGACAAATTTGTTTAGTTTGCATTTTGAACAAATCAAAAGGCAATTGTCCTTTGGAATTCACACTTTTCTCTATACTACTTTTCACTTTGAGACTACTATTGACACTACTAATCACCAGTCAAAATGCATACAAAAAGAAGTATTCAAAGAAAGTGTACACAAAATGTCTACATTAATTAAATAATGTATCAATAGCTTTCTATTATAGAATATCCATTACAAAAATGAGCATATGTGATAAAGATGGACACTAAAAATGTGCATTCATATACATTAGGATAATTTGTTGGAGTGTTGTTGTTTTGCTTTGTGTCACAATCTGATGCAGACATAAAATGAACCTGTTGACATATCCATTCCCACTAGTCATAGATTCTGTTCATAATATCCAGTTAATAAGATTCTAGAAATAATGTTGGGAATTGCTCATCTAAAGCCTAACAGGATCAATAACAAGCCACAATAACCATAATCGGTTAAGTCTAACTAACTTTAAATATTAATAGTTTTATTTCTATAGTCCCCATCTATGCTGTGTATGACAGAAACAAAGTAAAGACTGAATCATAAATCAATAAGAAATTTATATTAAAATCAGCACAGAAATTAATGTAGAATTTAATATAAAACTGTGGAATCACTTCTTCAAGTTAAGATTTGAATTACAATGGCTAATATATGTTTGTGATTTGGAAAACTATTCAAGATGGGAGAAGGAAGGGAGGGAGGGATCACAGTGAATAGCAAAAGGACTGAAAAAATTACTCTGCATTATATCAGGCTTGATTGATCTTATAACAAACATTATTTATAACAACCCTAGGGGATGTTGCTTCAGTAGCCCCAAACAAAACTGGAGTGTGTGTGTGTGTGTTATTATTATTGTTGTTGTTGTTGTTGTTGTTGTTGTCACTGCCAAGGGGAAAAAAAATCCCATATAATTCAATAATCAGTTCATGGGATTACCAGACTGTCCAGATGGATGACCTTACTCTAGTAATGACATTGTTGTGTACACACATTTTTCACTAGACAGACTGCCATTCATATTGCAGACCAATATGTTGAGAGTATTTTCTGATGTTCTCATTAGCCTGAATTGTGCAAGCAACCCTTCAGTTAGGATTGATTTTTCACAGATATAAAATTTATGTTGGCAATGGGTAGACAGTAAGGGAGGTGACCTTGACCGAAATATGCAAGACTCTGTTATGATAGCCTATCTCAATAAAGCATAGTTCTAGTCTTCCTATGGGGTTGATTTTCTGGTCTAGTCTACCTAGTGGGGCTAAAACATTGTGAATTCTTCTTTGAGAAAGTATTTGCTTTCATAACTCTGGACACGCGTTGAAGTTATCAGACACTTCTCTACTCAATGTGTAATAACATGTGCTTTGATGATATCCTGTCTATTAGCTCCATGTGCTTGCATGACTGGCTAATGCCTACGCTGAGAGAAGGAAAAGGCATAACAAAATGACATATGTCATATCATAAAGTTATGATGTGTGAGAAACTAGAACTGTGGTTTTGTAATGCTTTTTTTCCCTGCTTCCCTTGATCAGCATAGGAATCACAATCATGTTTTCCTGACAAGAGTTAGGCTGCAATACTGAATTAAATCCACAAGGATCTTAGGAACACCTATAGGAATTAGTTCAATAGAAATGGAGGCATTACAGTAATTACAATAATAATTTAACAGCTTTAGCTAAATATTCATAAATACAGTTTGGGAGCCTATATTTATATGATGCATAATAATAGATGTTCTGATGACTGAAACACTTGGAACTGTTTTCCGTTTTCTGTTTTGCTTTAATGTAGACATATTTTTGAAGCCTATCTTCCAGTTTTGTCAAGTCATTAGTGATGCAAGGAACATAAATTGCACAGAAGGTTATAGTCTATCTTGGGAAGCAGCTAGGCAAAATATATTGGGCACAATTATGAAAGCATGACTACCCTGCAAGCACTGTGTTCTGGGAGGTCAAAATCTGCAAGATGGTGGGTGCAATGTTGCAGTACAAGCCCTGCCTCTTTGGTATATGCAACAACATCGCATGCATGTACAAAAGGGCCAGGACTTGGATTGCAACATCACATCCGATATCTTGCAGATACCTTCTAAGTGGGTGCCCTTCTGCACAACACAAAAACATTTCTCCCTCCACTTCAACATCAACTATACTGCAGTTGCGTGTTGCTATTTCATTCCTTTGCAAAAATTCAACTGAGAGAATTTCACTGAGATAATCAAGTCCATTATTAGGCAGGAAGTACTATGAACAATGATTTGCTATTATTTTGCATATCTGACATCTTTAATCTTATAGAAAATAGCAGAGCTCTGGACAGGAACCCTTTAGTAGATATGAGAATTTATTTGGGTAAACTATATGTTGAAGGGGGAAAAAAGTCACCAATTTATTTTACAGCCAATTGGCATAATTTGCCAGGGCAGACTCGGTCCAATCCAGAGTTGCATTTATGGATGGTGTTTTTGAGTCAAAAACTCATGCAGGGCAGCAATTATTTAGGAATACAGCATAGAAAGAGTGTACATTTGCAAAATCTTTGTATCTAACCAAAAAAAAAAAAAGGATATTTTGGAGAAGTGTAATAGTAGTGTTTATTAGGGAAAGGGTAAGTTGCTATTAAGAATAGCTGGATCAAAAGCATTACGTTGTACTGTATATGAAAACAAACTCAGACTTTTCTTACTTCTAAAATAATTTACAAAAGGTAAAACAAAAATTAATAATACATACAGAACAAAAAAAATATAATATATGTGACATTGATAAGATATAACTTTAGAAGGCTACTTCCCTAGTTTTATAAAGTGTTACTTATAATTATAAACGGGACTAACAGTAGCATTTTATGTTCATGAACATGGTAACATACAATGAACTAGATAGATAGATAGATAGATAGATAGATAGATAGATAGATAGATAGATAGATAGACAGACAGACAGACAGACAGACAGACAGACAGACAGACAGACAGAATACTATATACTACGTACTATGTACTATATACAACAAATCCTTTTTATTGAGAACTAAAATATTCCTAGGCCAGATGGAACATTTGCCTGATATGATATAGTTTAAAGGCATACATCTTTCTTTGACTTTCAGTACAAAGGTTTGTTGGCCTGTTTATTTAAAAATATTTCATTTCAACTGTAACAACATTCAACAAAAATCTTAGTCATGAGAAACCACCATATCCAAATGAGAAAATGATGGCTTGAAATGCCACTGGCTGTATTTTCTCATAGTAGCTTTAAAAACAAAACAAAACTTTTCTACGTTTCCATGGGCAACCTTCTTCAGTGCTCATGTATACAGAGATCCTGGGAACATTGTAGAGTTTCCTTGGTTGTCCAAGGAAGACAGAAGTGGCAGAGGCAAATCTAACCAGAGTGCGTCCATTTGCCAAGCTGGCTTTCTTGCCTGTGAATACAAATGTTTGGCAGCTCTGTTAAAGAACACAAAATGGAACAGTAGCTTTCTCCTTTCTTAATGACGAGGCATTGAAAATGTAGGTACAATTGGAGGGAAGAGAGGGGAAAAAACGGTTTCTGTGGGGAAACCATTTTCTTAAAATCAAATCTTTATAATGGCAGAGCATCAGGCATACACTGTCTGCATTTGGGACAGGATTGTCTTACCTATAATAAATCCGCAGAGAAATGATGCAAGACAGCACCTGATTCATACAAGAGACACAGCTCTTCACTGTAATTAACTCCCACTCATGTGTCTCATCTCTTATTGATGTGGATTCCAATGATGGGAATTCTTTTACTATTTTAATTTTGATTTTCAAGTGTTGTAAATTCCAGTGAACTGCTACAGTATATATAGTCGCATATTGGATATCAAATACTCCTGTCCCTCGGGCCAAATGCCAATTAAATATTTCAAGACAATTTGACATACATACAATAATTTATTTGAGAATATATAGAGAATATTTGAAGCTGTAGTCCCAGGATTAAGTTCTGGTACGACCTTGCTATTCTTGAAGAAGTCTGAATCTTGTAATTAACTGAATGGAGGACTATATGAGAACACCATTCTCTTGAAGAAGAAAGGGGGGGGGGAGCATAAAAGTATGCATTTTTGCTATCAAAGTTTTCTGTGAATATTTTGTAAATCATTTCTTCTCTAGATGGTAAAGACGAGCTACAGTGACTTCTAAAGCATAGCATGTCCCTTTAAAGCCTTCTCATTCCTTACTTCATATCAATGATGTCATCTGAGAGCTAATTTTGCTAAAATGAAAAACAAAAAAAACACAAAAACCTATCTCTACATTGTGGCAACTATATGCCACATTGGTGTGTGTGTGTACAAACACACCCACCCACATACACAAACCTATGCATACTTATATACATACATATATAAATACATACATAATGATACCAAATTAGTCACTTCATTTTAAAGGTCAGTTCAGAAGATCCACTGAATTATATGGGAGTTACTATCAAGCAAATGGGCCAAGGATTGTAGAATATATGTATTGCATATATAAACATGCATTTCTAAGATCTCCAATTATCTCACTGTCCATAGTTGTGAGACTGGGGCAGTATAGAAATACAAATGGTTTTTATTTGTATGTTTTAGACAGATGTCTACCTAAGTGCAGATTCTTTGCCTGACAGCCACATATGAATTTTGTATTCTTACACCTTTTTGATAAGTCTTCCAAATGTCGGGTACAATTGAATGCAATCTTCCTTTTCACATTTGATATTTACGAGATACCAACTTCCCGATTCTCCTCTTTGACATACCTAGCATTGAGAAATGCACATCTTGATTAATATTTATTAAGTGTAAGTGTCTGCAAATACTAAAAGCGTATCAGACACCACCAACAGGGTAAAGGAGCACTAGAATTGAGTTAGGTGAATACTGAATTTTCCTTTCAATATTCACATGACAAGTTGACCTCCTGAAAGGATCCTCATGTGATCATAACAGAAGTTTAAACATTGTGAGGAGCAGGTTGGAAACAATTTATTGGAGCATTACATTTTGTAATATGGAAGTGTTTTTATTTTAGTCCCAAGGTCGTTATGAGCAATTGTCAAGTAATTGCTAGGGTATAATATCCTTGAAGTACTTTTCCCTCTTATCTTGACTCTATTTATAATTAAAAATAAAATTAACTCCCCCCCCCCTTTTTTTAAATCCATCTCTTGTAACCTGGTAACAAGAGGCTTCCAGCCTTCAACATGGCTTTGCCCACTCTCAGATATTCAATGATTCTTCAAGGTAGTCCTCAAAATACAGTAACATGGCAATATTTTCTATAGTGCTCTGGAATAACTTTGTTTCAGTGCGAAAATCCAAGATAGAAAAATAAACAAAAATGGCTTGTCGAAGGCTTTCATGGCCAGAATACAATGGCTGATGTGGGTCTTCCGGGGTGTGTGGCCGTGTTCTGGAAGTTTTGGTTCCTAACATTTCACCAGCATCTGGCTGGTCAGTTTGAACCAAACGCTTTTAGTAAAACTCTGAGCAATGAACTTCATGGGACAGAGCATTTCAGTCAAAGACTGGCTATATAGCACTTCAAAAATTCTTAGCCTGAAGCTGAAAAATGTACCATATTTTTATCAGCATTTTATGAATTTTGTACAATTGAATTGTCAATCATGCCATGCTGGGCACACACATTCTAAAGCACATAAATATAAGTGGCATGCTTTCACTTTTGATCCATTTGGTACTTTTCTTAAAAAACAAACAAAAATTTTGATGAAGCTTAAAATGTTGTTATCCTAAATGATAAAAGGAAGCTATATCTAGAAAGGACTTCTATAAAATCAATACTGCAGTGAAATGCATGTCCCTTCCAAAACAGGAAGAAGGGATTGTCACTTTCTCCACATGTAGCTGAGACTTTTGGAGTGAGCAGAAGATAAATCAAAGAAGACTGTTTTTTTCTATAACTCAAGGTTGTTTTCCAAGATGGCCCAGCAGAAGATGGCCCATCAATCACAGTAATTATCTTTAATATAATCACTCACCGAAGGATAAAATATTTTTTTTTTTTGTCTCCATTGTCATTTGTGGGGGATAGCTACCTACTGTACATGAACAATTCGGAGCACCAATGACCTTTCCTGCTGCATAGTTTCAGCAACTTTTTTCAAAGCTCTATCAACTCTTGATTATTGAAAAAAATAAACAATTTCCTGTTTGTTGCTGCCAGAGGGGTAGGGGAGAATATATATATATTTTATATTTGGATTTTAATTCTATAAGCCACCTGGAGTCACCGTGTGTGAGTGAGGTGGCTATATAAATGTGTTTAATAAATAAATAAAATAAATAAACTGCTACCTGCCAAAATAGATGGTATCCTGTGTTCCTGAGCTGTACATCTAGTTCCTTATTGAAAAATAAATCAAGCTTTAAATCTATGTTAACTCCCTAAGAGTATCTCTGCTTTGTGAGTTCATTTTACTAGCTCACATCCAAGCTGTAATGATTTCAGGTGCTGGTACAACATTTCCATGATTCCACTGAACTCACAAGAAGGGACAGTGATGCTTAGTATGATAAGCAAAGCGATAACATCATTTATCACATCCTCAAATGACCTCACTCAGCAATGCCATATAAATCAAGAAGAGAAATAGATCCTGCAGCTCATCAGAGCATTGCTGATATGGTAACCTTTCCAGCACAACCTTCTGAAATGGAAAAATGTGATGGAAATGGGAAAAAAATGGAGCACAGCATCTCTAAAGCAAATCTTGGACACAATAATCAGAAAGAAAAGGAAAAGGAAAAGGAAAAGGAAAA